GAATGATGTTTTTGTTTCAGATAATACCTGTTTTGACAACTGATACACCATTTAAACAGTAGCAAAAGGATATATCTAAATTTGTGTCACAGGAGAAAAAACCACAAGTTAAATATAAGGTGTTATAAGATGCAAAGGAAAGAGGAGGACTGGGACTACCTGATTTAAAATTGTATTTTGCAGCTTGCTGTTTGGTTTGGATGAAAGAATAGGTGCTGCTGAGAAACAGAAGGCTCTTGAAGTTAGAAGGACATGACCTGAGATTTGGGTGGCATCTGTGGCATGATAAAGTCAAAGTTAATGTGGATTTTAAAAATCATTATGTTAGACATGCCATATTGAGAATATGGAATAGAATCAAACCCAGGTTGTGTCTGAAAATATCGTTGTGGCTCTCAGCACAAGAAGCATTTTAAAGAAGAAAAATAAATGGATACCAGAATTTTGTAAAGGGGAACGTAAAATAAAATCAAGAGAAGAATTGGTGGCAGAGGGAAATAGCTCTCAATGGTTTTTTTTTTATTTATTTACAGTTATTAGAAAGATTTAAAGTAGACAAAAGAGTTTATTATTTTGAACATTGTAAAACTGAGTTTGAAATAGAATTGTGTACATGTAATTGCTAAAATGTATACATTTTTATTGAGATTTGAAAGAGAAGAAGAATAAAGTGGGCTAAAAATGTGATTATAATATACAGATGGAATAATGGGAAAATATGTGGTTGAAAGGATTGAAATTTATACTATGTTATAATCTTAGAGAATTTTTATAAAATGATGTTCCGTTGGTATATATCACCAGAGAAATTGTCTGGAATGTATAAAGGCACTTCAAATTTATGTTGGAAATGTGAACAACAAGAAGGGACATTTTATCGTATTTAGTGGACATGCAAAAAAACTTAGAAAATTTTGGATTCAGATATACAGTTGAGATCAGAGTTTTTTGTTTTGGGACTGATGGACAAACAGTTGGGAAAAAGTCATGGAACTTTGCTTTTGTGTTGGTGAAGTTGATGGAACTTGCTGGGATGGCTAAATTGACTTCTTTGATCAGAGAAAAGACAGTATCTACATTTATTTTTGACTGGAAACCCTAACGGACTTTTTGCATAAAACAGAAACAAATTAACTTATGATTTATGGTTTTGATGATTAGACTGGATGGATTATAGAAAGAAGAGAGTTACGTTGTAATCATAAAGTAAGAGGTAAATTTATAATTATACTTATAACTGCTGTAAAGAAGATCAGAAGCTACTTTATATCTTTGTATCTTTGTATCTTTGTATCTTTTTTTTCTATTTTTCTTTTACTTTTCCCCCTTTCTTCACTTTTAGCTTTTTCATTTCTTTCTTTTCTTTTTCTTACTTTAGTTTTAGTTTTTAATCTTTTTTAAAAAAATAAAACTAATTTTATATATGTACATAATTGAAGATGTTGTGTCAGTACATTAACACTTACCTATCACAGATAAATTGGCAGCTCCTTCACCTTCATAATTTTTCAATATGGCAATACATTTATATATGCCTGTATCTGATAGTTTCACTGGGGAGATTGAAAGTGTAAGATTATGCTTATCCATCTTTGTTCTGTTCTTGTAAAGTATGTCCTTCTCAGATTCAGATTCTTTACCATGCTTGTAAGAAATCACAACCAGGTCTGGTTTACCAGAGATAGGCTTTTGCCAGTAGATGTAGTAAGATTCTAGCGTTTTGCCTTCAGAGATTTTGTAGCCGCAAGGAAGCCTGGCTTCATCTCCTTCTCTGGCTGAGATATTGGTTATTTCTTGACTGAAAATGCCTAAGAAGGAAAAATATACACACATAAATGCACAAACAAAAATATGACACAGATATCTATTCTTCAAGTTTCTCCTTACAAATATACTTTGAAAAAATGTGGGAGAGAAGAGAGAAGAGTGAGTGAATTTATATATATTAGATATCATCATGTAGTAGAATCAAGTGAATAAAACTGTAAGAAGTCCACCCAGTGATGACCGCCAATATTACAAGTTGTATGTTGCATTTTCCCCTTTAATACAATGTGGTGTGAAGAAAGGCCTTTCAGAAAGTGAACAATGTCTCAAATACTTCTACAAATATACCTTCTTTGGGTTTTGATTATATCTGTGCCTGCCCGCTGAATTTTTCCTTTCTACTTCTGCTTCAATGCCATGTTTTCGAGCTCATTCTTTCTCACTTTATGATTTGAGACAATCACTAACTGATTAGTAGACATGATGATGCCACATTACACTACCATTTTTTCTATGTGATGATATCAAAAACTTGAAACCAAACCAATGACAGTTGAAGATGATATATATATATTTCATTCCAGCTTCTCATGCTAAATAGTGTTAGGAAGAAAGGGAGAGGATGCAGCAAGAAGTACATATTCTAGACTGAACAGGACTGAGGGGAAGAGAAAGTATGTATAAATACTTTGTCTTCTGTTTGCAAAGCCCCTTGAAAAGTTGCTAAAAAATATAGTTTCATAAATGTGTAATTGGGCAAGTTTATGGAGGAAAGGAGGAAATAATTTAAAAAAAAAATTCCACATATACAGACCTTACAATTTAACTGTTTTTATTAGATAAAGCAATTTATATGGATCCATTAATAATGTGGACTTATCATGTCTTGACGATATGCAGAAATCATATCTCCATGTGTTCAGCTATGGTCTCCTAAGGAAGAACTCTATGATGGACAGAGTTCTTGGTTAAACGGGGGATAGAGAATATGTATATACATGCATGCATGTATGGTATGATGGGAGTCATATTAAACATATTTTGTGGGTTGGGAAGGGAGGCTCTGAATATGTTACTATAATTATAGAGCAGTAGCACAGCAGTGTTCTGCCATTCCAACTGCATATATTCATAAGGTAAATATAAAAAATGCTTTGCTCTTCTACATTGCTTGCTCCTGTCTCTTGCTTTTTTTCTCAGTTGCCAAAGACCCACTCACACTCACCAAGCAATACTGGAACTCAAGAATGAACAAGAATTCCACTCACTTACCTTTACCCATATCTCTTTTTTTCATGTAGGATTTCTCTCCTGAATATCACACTTACTTGAGATGCCACTAAAGCATCTTTTGACTTGCATGAACTTTGGTTTGTTTTCCAGCATCCAAACTATGTTGTGCAGCCTGCAACTTGTCTCAAAGTCCCTAGTGTTAGGATTTTCTCATGGGAAAGGATTCATCTCGTTATCTGTAAAACTACTTTTGTTATGGCTATGCAAAGCGTGTGAATTTGTTTAGTTCTCTAGTGTGCACGTATTCTGCTATTTACTGCCACCTATTGGCGTGTGTATGTTAGTTAGCCAGTGGGGGAGGCGGTATGGATTGGCAATATAATGGGAGGATCATATGCCAAGCCTCTCAGTAGAGTCTCAGTATAGTTTTAGTCACCATGTAGTCGTTTTTATAGGTTATGTAGTTGTAACTAATAACCAAGTAGTGTACCTCTTCTCTGAGAGTTTTTAGCTAGAGACTTTGTTAAGCTTGGGTTGTTGATAAGTCTTGGATGCTAAAATACACGAGAAGACGTGTTTTTTCCTATATTTTGTATGATATTTGCATTTTATGGAGTTTTGCATTTTTTATCAATAAACACCAGTTAGTATATATTTTCTGGCTGGATTTCTTTGGGGGACAAGAAATGGACATTGCATTTTGTAAATCTCTCATGCTGATGTGTATTTTTCCTGGGCAATTTTCATGGAAGTATTGCTGCACTCTGCACAACAGGAGTATTGCTGCACTCTGCA